TCATCGACCCCCCACGCTGGGATGCCAGTCGGGATGGGAACTCCTACATGCCGTGTCATGATGGCTTTGGCGGAATGCCACATCGTCCGAACAGCCTCCTGAACTTGCCAATACTGCACAGCGTCTTCGTTCCGAAATTGGAAGGGGAAGGTGGAGAGGGAAGTGGCAAGGGCCGAGGGCTCAGGCTCCTTGGCGCGGTCGTGGCAGTACAGTTTATACCAGAAACTGTTGAGGCGCTGCTTGGTGGGGTGTTTGGATCGTGTAAGCCCCTTAAGGGCTGCCCAGTGAGCAGTGGCAGCATCATACCAAGCAGGCCGGGCGCGTTGGGGCCCACGTCTGTTCGGCGTTGTACTAAGTCCTTGCCAATGCTCATCCTCAAGGGGCTGGTAATCGAAAAGGGGTGGAGACATCCACTTCTCGCAAGGCCGCCAGGTCAGTGGTACGTAGCTCCGAAAAGCGCCAGTCATGCACCTGAGCTTCGAGCTCGTCAGCCACATCAGGAGTCTCTGCCGTGGGTGCAGGCGAAGCCTCCTCAGTGTCAGAAGAGACGCAACATACCTCCGAGGGTGCCTGTGCCGTAGCCGCAGAGGACTCCAAGATTGCAGACGGCGCAAGGAGGCTCTCCAAAGGCAGCACACGCCGTAGGAAAACCACAACCCTTGCGGTTGTATCAGGCCACTCCAAATTGTAGGCGGACCAGAAGTGTTCAATGTCCTGGTTTGCAACAGAGGCAGCGAGGGCCTGCCGAATGGCATCAAGGAAGTGAACTGGTGGTACACTTGGCTGAAATTCCTGATACTGGCGGTGCCCCAGTGTTTGCGAGCCTTGGAGCGAAATCCGAACAAACGCATTAAGGCTAGGCTGCTGCGTCAACCTGGCAGTTTCCAAATTGGTGTGCTTGGCAGCATCCGCCCAGGCTTTCACGGCCTCCTGCGACACCTGTCCGTGGACCTGGGGGAGTCCCTGAGGGTCCACCGCATATTTAGTTGCAGGACATGTGGGCAGCTGGTATGCACGTCCAGCGAGAAAGGCCACCATAGCCGCAGGAGGTACATTGACCTGTAGGTCTGTAACGCGATTGTCAGACTCAACCCAGCCGCTCGTCCCAAGGGACCCTTTTGGTGGGACTCAAAGGCTAGCAACAGCGCCCCCAGCCAGTAGTCTGGGTCGGCGTAGCATAACATGGCCGGAAAACTGGCATTGCTGACCCCTGGCGCATCCGCGACAGCAAAGAAGAGATCAGCAATGTACTGGGCGGTAGTCAGAAACCCGTACCCTACCAGAGAATCCGACAGCCTGGTTTTATCCAGCTGTGGTATTTGGCGACAGTATGTCAGCAAGATCAATGCGCTGTAGCGCCCCTGAGAGTCGCAAGCACTGCATGATGGATTTTCAGGTAGGCTGCTGGGGAGGTCTCAGGCAGATGGAGGAGGGTGTCTGCAATGCCCAATAAGGTGTCCGGTTCTAGGAGCTGGTGTGGCAAGCGCAGCAGCAACTCTTCATAGGTCCTATACGCTCGAAGCTGCTGCCCATGCGTTGTCAGATGCGTCGAATCACGTAAGCACATGTAGGGTCTGGGCTTCACGCTCCTTCCAAAATGGTGCCCCGCTGCGAGCGCACGCCACATAAGTCCGCAAACAGAATCATCACTTCCACGGGAAGGAGACTCGTTTCTCGGCGGCCTGTGATCGCGGGCGCTACCAGGCTCACCGGGCCCCCTGGGCTTGGACCTGGGTGGCTCCTGGGAGCCGGCATTGTCATGGACAAGGGGCCGACTTCTTTGCGGTGAGGGGAGTGCGAAGGACGCTGCGCGGCCAGCTGGGTCAGGTCAGGGGGGGGCGTGGGGTGGTCATAAGTTGGCCCTGTTAGCTCACTGGGAGACTTGGCACAGGGTGATCTGGATGCATCTCTGGCCCCGCTTTGCTCGGAGCTGCAGATCGCCGTATCGCCGCGGAGAGTTTGACTTGGGGGTTGCTCCTCCGATCGGCCAGTCACGACCCTGCGGAGGGCAAACCAGCCTGTCCTCCGCAGCCCGAGCACTGAGTGCATCTGGAGGGCCGGCCGCATGTCCCTGTGCGCTAGCATCCTCTAGACGTAGCTCCTTGGCCTGCCTTGGCGTGCCACACGGAGTGCGCGACGCCTCTCTGCGTGGGCGCGGCGGTGGACTGACGGCAGCAGCGACCGAGCCACGAGCAGCCTTACCTGATAGATCCAATGGGTGTAAATTTACACTTTACACCCCCCTAAGAATTTACACCCTTTTGGGGTGTAAATTTACACCCCCGGGGGGGGAAATTTGGGGTCTAAATTTACACCCCCGGGTGTAAATTTATATATTAGGCAAGCCGAAAGTGTATACACTTTTGGGTTGGCCGACCCAAAAGTGTATACACTTTTGGTTTGCCTTATTCCCCGCCCCACACAACCCATCCCACCACCCCACACAACCCCCGCCCCCACCTCCCCTCTCCACACCCTTTCCCATTCCTGTTCCATCCTAAAAGGGCCATCCAGCCCATCACAAAATGGGCCATCCAGCCCTGTGAAATGCACAATGTGATGTGTATATATACATATATCCGGGGCCCTCCAGCCCTTTTTCATCTGCAAAACCTCACACACACCGCTTTTGCGAAAGCCCCGTGGTCCAGGCTGTTTATCAGGAGCATTCCACTCGGAACCAGAGAAGAAAAACCAGCACTGGTTGATTGATCCATGACAGACAGACCGCGAAAATTGTAATCACCACAGTCTCAGAAACGATGGGTTCCTCGCCAAGCCGTAAGAACTGCCCGGAGGAAAGCAGCCTCTTCCAATTGAGCAATCCTCTCTGCCAGCTGACTGCAAAAGCGAAGCAAAACTCTGATGCACCTACGATGCCGCAATGATTCACGCTCAAGCCAGCTGGAAGTACTCAGGCTGCTATTGCTCGAAGATGAAAACTCAGGCACAACAAGCTCCGGAGGCAGTTCGTCCATTCGGCGCAAGCTTCCTAAATCGCCCCAATGAAACATGCCAAAGTATAAGAAGCTCGGACAAGCTCTGATATTATAGTGCCATGCATATGTACTGCACTAAAAGGCTAACAAATATGCATGCTTTGAAGTTGTCACCAAGCGCATGACATGTTCGAGCAGCTGGTGCTAAGAAATAGGAAGCACAAGTTCCACAAGGTGCACAACAAAGTCCATGTCCAGAGAGTCCAATGGATGGTCGCTGGTTCCTGTTCCGGTCTCTCTGTTCCTGTTCCTGTTCCTGTTCCTGCTCCTCGGGCTGGGCCTTCTCACACCTTGATCCACGCCAAATGCATAGCCAAGCAGTTCTTCATGTTCAGTTTGAAAGATGCTTCTTCGCGGCCCACTCCTTTCACACAAGAAGCCATCATCTTGCCCAGCCTCCCCTCCAACAACTTGTCAATGCTGGGTGTATCTCCCCACTCCTCTCCACTATATGTTGTGTGGCATGCACCTTCGACGTCACGTTGAACACTCGAATGTCCTGTTCCTTGTAATAATCCGACAAATAAACATACAGTGCACCGAAATTCTGGAAATTCTGCTCCAAACGTCCTGCTGCATCCGCCGGCAATGCAAAATGTCCTTCCGACACTGGGTACTCTCTCAGGATGTCTTCAAATTCCTTGTTCAGTTTCAGCAACACTGCTACTTTCCTGTACTCTTCCGTGTCCGGGGCGACATCGTCCCACATGTCCACGAATGTAGAGCACAACCCTTTGATCTCACTCGCCTTGCCCTTCAGCTTTGGGAAGTCCTTCTTCTTCTGGAACATGGACAGCTTGCACAGCCGCTGCTGGTACTTGTTCTTAATCCCTTTCCTTTTCTGATGCTGTTTTATGAACGTCCACAAATACTTGAGGTTACTCAATGGATCCTGGTCCATTATATGGCGACATAGCAGCTCCAGGACTGATCCGAACAAATGCTGGCAAAACCCCAAGTACTTCGTATGCATGAGATCGTAGTGCACGTGACACGCCGTCAATCCATTCCTGAATAGATTGCATCTTGATCGCTTGTTCCATGCCTTCCATGATTCCGGATTCCACTGTGTATCCCTCCAAGGAGCAGACTCTGAAAAGTCCTGCCAGGTTGTAGGTCCGGTTCTCGTGCACCTGCAGGGCTGTGTATACAGTGTACCACACACACACTATACAAGCTTTCGTCACTCCGGCCTGCACAATGCACAAGGTTCGTTGGCATTATGATTGGGCAAGCCCATGAACATCCTGTAAAAATCCATGTCGCCTGACCATGCACAAACCACGGCCCTCCAGCCGTTGGCTAGTTCCTGTCCGGCTTTGTCCCGTTCCTTGCTGCCTGCAGGGAATTCGATCCCCCGCCAGTCCTTTTCCGGATACGTTCCAAGCCATAGATGATGCAATGACCATTGCAGCAGGGCAAAAAAATCCAGGGCGGTCTCCTTGTTCCACGTCCTGTTCCAACAGGCCCAGACATAGTTCTGGTTCACCTTGGTGTTTTGTGTGGCATAGAGAGAGAGAGAGTGAGTGAGAGAGAGAGAGAGAGAGAGAGAGAGAGAGAGAGAGAGAGAGAGAGAGAGAGAGAGAGAGAGAGAGAGAGAGAGAGAGAGAGAGAGAGAGAGAGAGAGAGAGAGAGAGAGAGAGAGAGAGAGAGAGAATGCACAGAATGCAGAGAACATTCTCTCTCTCACATGCACAAAGAGCAAAACTTCTGCACACGGCTTCTCATATAAAAGACTGTCTATGCAGAGGTGTTCCAGAATGACACACAGAAAAATAGTCAGACAAGTGGCTCTGGTTCCTTTTCCGGAGTAGTTGCTGAGCATCGAGCTCCAGCTGAACACCACGGCAGAAGAACTCCAGATCTTGCCTCTGCCAGTGATCGGGGTCTCGTCTCCATGAACAACAATGGGAATTACTTTTTCCAATTCATCCAAAGTCAGGTCCTTGAGCGGGCAGGATTTCCATTGGTCCAGCTTCTTGGCTCTTTTCCAAAATCGTCTTAAGTCCGAAGCTCTTCCACGTTCCATGTCCCGAGCTTCTCTGAATAACACTTCTTGAAGACATTCGGATACTTTTCCCAGATGCCAGCAAAAACCTCATGCGGCAAGGAAACTGCATAGGCGTGATCCTGTTCCTGCTCCTCCTGGTCCGTCCGAATGTCTTGAGACTTGTCCTTTCGCAGGGTGAATCTAGTTCCCAATTCCAAGCGAGGCATGTTCTTCACCAGTCTCATGATGTCCCTGTTGAGGTTGTTGGCCTGAACTGATTTTTGTACAAAATATATGAGACATTTCATCCTACACATACAGTTCTACAAAAATGTGAAACACATCTTCTAAGATCGGGAATGCCGAGTTGCATGCCGACCGGCAGTTCCAGCCTGACCAATCTCGTCCAAATCCTTGATCCTCGAACTCCTTGCATCCAATACTGCAAGTTCGGCTATTTTCTGAATCTGCATTGTGCTCAAGTGCCCCCAGGCAAACTGCTCCAGCAACCACGTTCTCAGTCCAGATCCAGTTTCCTCTTTCTTCTGAGTGCAATCTCCTCCATGGAGGCCAGATGACTGCACACAGAGGGGCACACGACATTCAACCTGCTGACTTTTTTTCGATCCGGCACAGAGACAGCTGTCCTGATCACGATTCTGTGTTGGGGCCATCCAGCCCAGCAAATGCATCCTCGCACACAGAAACACACAAGGTCCACACCGCTGCTTTTTTTTTTCGCCCTTTGCTGTCTCGGGTCTGCAGATATGCGAGTCGCGGAAGTCTGTGTTGTGCTCCGTGCGGTGTGAGAAACAGAGACTACACAACTTCAAAATGCTCCACAGAACTGCCCATCCGGGCAGTTCGATTCACTGCATGTGACGGCTATTATCCCTGCACCTTTCGGTGCAATCCGAAAGGTGAAAATACATCCAGATCCTGATCCTGTGTGCATCCATTGAATCCCTCAGTTGGTCCGGCAAAAGTTGATCATGGCGAGCTGGATGGTGGTCATGTTCACATACTGCAGGTTCCACACTTCCTGCCAAAGGCACACATACAAGGAAATCTCTATACAAACACACACGATTCTTACGCAGCTCCTGAACCTCGGCGGTTATCTCGTACAGCAGCCATGCCAACGAAAAGAGCTTTTCATCCAGGACGCTGACGAACATCGACTCCAGCAGTTTGCCACACTTGGATTCGTTGTTCAAGCCCTTCTCCGCGACGAACTTCGGGCACACCAGGACCAAGAGCATCTTGAGCCCCTTGTTTCCAAGGGGCGGCATCTTTGCCGCTTCAGTGCTGTGAAACTTGTTGTGAAGCTCTTCCCTCCTTGGCTGAAAAAGGCTTCTTGTGAGTTTTTTCACAAGGTAAAAAAAACAACTAAATATATGAAACCAAGTCTCTTCGGCTCCGGCAGACTGTGGACTCTCCTTGCCTCGTGCAGGATCGCTGCGAAGTCCAATGAGGTGAAAGTAGAACCTGAGACCGTTTTATATACAATCGCACAGAATTTTATAGGGTGCAGGGTATGTGCATATATATATAGAGGGTGTCACCAAAACTACACCAAATATCAGCCTAGGTTCGCAGCTTCTGGTACAAAGCCCAGGCCGCAGTTCCTTTCTGTCCATGAGCCTGCACCTGAACCATGTGTGGAATAGGCGGCATCGGTGCGGGAATTCCACCACCTGCTGCTCGATTTGGTGCTGTTCCTCCATTTGCTCCAGGTCCTGTTCCTGCTCCCGCCTGGATTTGTCCTGATCCACGAGCTCCGTCGCCTTCTCCGGATCCAAGAGGTCTGCCGTCGTTTCCCGGTCCAACACGAGCTTCCTCGGTTGCTTCCGAACCAGGAGCTGCCTCGCTGTGTCCCGATTCAAGGGCGAGGAAAGGGGGGTAGTTTCTTGTCGAAGGAGCAGCGACTTCACGTATTTCTATCGGCACCTTCTGAAAGCTGTACAGGTTTATGCGGAAAGACATCTTGCTCAAAGTTGCAGTGAAAAGCTCCTTGTCCATGTACTGGTCCGGGTAGGTGGCAAACTCCTTGCGAAACAACCGCTCCTTGGTTTGACACAAATCCCCACCCACCCAAAAACACAGAGAGAAAGAGAGACAGAGACAGAGAGAGAGAGAGAGAGAGAGAGAGAGAGAGAGAGAGAGAGAGAGAGAGAGAGAGAGAGAGAGAGAGAGAGAGAGAGAGAGAGAGAGAGAGAGAGAGAGAGAGAGAGAGAGAGAGAGAGAGCGAGAGAGAGAGAGAGAGAGAGATTTAGCTTTATGTGTAGCCAAGCATCCATGAAATAGTTTGTTTTTTCGAAACGGCCGGGTCTTTCACTGTAGACCTCTTTGCCGGCTCGGACCATCACAGCAAGGTACTCACCGTAGCTCACGGTCGACTCTTCCCCGAGCACTCTCCTCCACTCCTGCTGAAGGCACTCTTCAAATCCGTACTCTCCATTGCCGGACATGGCTGTTCCTGAAAAAAGACGAGGGCTGTTTTTCCCAAGTTTTCCGTGATGCTTGATCACACAAAGGCTTCGCAAATTATACAGGGCATCCTGAAATCACTCTACACCACACACAGGGGCCATCCAGCCCTCCTCCTGTGGCAGCACAACGGCAGAGAGACACCGGGCCATCCAGCCAAGCGGCACACAAGAAAGCAAGCAAGCAACCAAACCAAAAAACGATTGCCACTCTTTTTTCGCTGCGCCTGATAAGCCTTCTCTCACACGGCTTCTGTGATAATCAACCTAGACGGTTCTAGTCCGGGTCCTCTCAGCTCTCTCTGGCTCTGGCAGCGAGCTTGCCTTTTACTCCTGCGATGTCCTCGTCGATCGTTTTCACGAAGGTGCCCTGCTTCTTCAAAAAGAGTGTCACCTTCTCGAAGGTCACCTCGCCTGGGTGGTCCTTCTACGGCAGCTCCTCTGTGTGGCACGGGGGTGTGTGGGGCTGCTACCGTTTTTAGTTTTGGGCGGCTTGGAAAATTTTGGGGTGTGTTTTCGAAAGGGTCTGTCCTGGAACTTCTTCAAAGACTCCAATTGTTGCCTTGAGCTCTCGATCCGGCTGTTCAGATCTTTCCTTACAGCACAACGGGCTTGCTGATAAATGAATATACATCTATATATATATATATATGAATGTATAACATACAATATAGAACAAGAGCTCTCTCTCTCTCTCTATATATATATATATATATCACACCCTAGATTCACGTCCAAGCTTCAACTGCTGGAAACAAGTATCATCCCCGGTGCCAACCAGAGTCAGCAGCTTCTCAATCTTGCCTTGCAGTGTCTTCAAGCTGTTGAGTCCTTGGTCCACCAGCTCCTTCGTTTTCTTCCACAAAGCCTCCGTCATAGTCTTTCTCCTTTCTCTTCTGCTCCTGCTGCGGATCCTGATGCTGTTCCTGCTCCGTCATCCGCAACACCATCGGCGATCATCGCATGCCTCGGCATGTCCGGCAACTCCGTCGGCAACTCCAAGTTGATGTCGTTCATAAGGGCCTGCAAATTTCCTGCTTCAGCTGCATTCAGCTTCATTCTTTTTGCTCCAAGTTCAATGTTTGTCGTCCTTTTGTCCGCACTCGTTGATTTCAGGGTTCGCCAGGAGACGTAGGTCTGATTTCCCTGGTGACAAACGTCCACTTCCTCGTTCTCGATGCATCGTTTTAGGGTGTCCTCGTTCAGGTTGAACTTTGCCATAAACAACGTCTGCGTCAATCCCTTGTCTTGCACTTGAAACTTGTTCATGTTTTCCACGGATTGCTGTTCTGATACTGTTGCTGATTTCGTGCCAGCAAGCTGCAATTGTCCCTTGCTCCTCTGAATGATCTTGTTCAGAACTCCGTTTGCTTTTTTCTGCTTCCCGGTCCCGTCAGGCTTTTGAACGTGTCCTGCACCGTTTGTGGCAGAGCTCCGGAGCCATCAAGAATTGGAACTTGTTCCTTTTGCTACGGTCCCTCTTTTTCGAAGAAGTGCTTCGATCATCGTCATCCTCCTCTTCTTCTTTTGCCTGCTGTTCATCCTCTTCTTTTTCCAATGCATTGCTCCAATCCGCGATGGAGGTTTTCCTTTTCGGCTTCTTGGTTTCATCCTTCTCCTTCTTCTGATCCTGCTCCTTCTTGTTCTTGCCGGATTTGCCTTCGGCTGCTTTGGCCTTGGCTTTGCCTTTCGGTGTGGCCTTGTCTTCGGCTCCGGATTTGCCTTCGGTTTTTGGTTTCGCCTTGCCGCTTTTGGTTGAGGTGGGGGGCTTGGCTGAGCCTTTGGCCGTTGCCTTTGCCTTTGCCTTCGGGGTGGCCTTTGCCGTTGGCTTTGCCTTCGGGGTGGCCTTTGCCGTTGGCTTTGCCTTCGGGGTGGCCTTTGCCGTTGGCTTTGCCTTCGGATTGGCCTTCTTCTTTAAAACCTGGCTATCTTCCTCCTGATCCAATTCCTCGTCCTCTTTGTCGTCTTCTTCCGCCATTTCCTCTTCCTCCTCCTCTTCCTCCTCTTCCTCCTCTTCCTCCCCTTCCTCCTCTTCCTCCTCTTCCTCTTCCTCCTGCTCCTGTTCCTCCTCCTTCTCCTTTTCCTCTTTGGCTTTCTTCTGGATTGAGGCTTTGGCTTTCGGTCCTGGCAGAAAAGGGTTCTTTATTTATTTATTTATGTATTTATTTATTTATATATACTATATGTATATTTAGATATACATATCACACAGACACACACATGTAGATTGAGGCAGAAACCTGGTTTGGCTTTCGCTTTGCCTTTCGGTGCGGTTTTCGGCGGCATGCTTCTTTTCCAGCACTGCTGCTTGTCTACACCGGTCCTGCTGAGACATAAAATGTGTGGAGCCCAAAAAAGCTGCACAGAGAGGTTTCTGTGACGTTGCGTCTACATGGGCCTGTGTGTGGGCGAATATATAATTTCCACAAAAAAGTGTGTCTATACAGCGCGTGAGTGTGACGGCGTTGCTAAGTATCTTACCCACTTGCTGGGAGATACCCAAATCCTTACGACACTAGAACGCAAAGGAAACTTCATTTGGACCACGATTTTGGTGTACTGGGAGACCAGCCCAATGGGCGCCCTGCGAACACCTGGTGTCCGAAGGTGAGTACAATGTCAGCCAGCAACCAGCTGAGGTCGTAACTATTGCCCAGTTTGCTTTGACTCTCATTCTGGTCAGGCACACGGATCCATCGACCTGCCCGCAGGGCTGCGTAACGGTCTCGCAAGCAGATGCTGCATATTTGGTCCTGGCAGCATGCGCAGATAGGGAACTTGTCCCCTCAATTCAAAGGTGCAAGCTTCCGAATATCGGCAGGCATACAAGACAGCAGAAATTTCTGGGGGGAGACGCATGGATGAGCAGAGCGAAAGATTGATGGCTGGACCCGCAATAGCCTTGAGTCCTGCAGCTTGCATGACTATTTCGGCCTGTTTGGGCTTAACACAGCTCAGGCAGAGGATGGCTTCCAGCATGGAGCTGGCCGAAAACCCAGACTTGGTATAGTCCGGGTGCAGAGTGGGTTTGCCCCAGGAAGGCATATCTCCCTGCCCTTTTTTCCACGGGCTGGCGTTATTGTGCGTCTGCCTTAGCAGTGCTGCTGGTAGCGTGGCAGGCGTATACAGATCAGCCGGGACTGCATTGAGGCCGCATGTTTTTTGCTCCAAAAGCTCCGTCACATAGTGGTAATTCGGCCGGGATCCTCCCGCCGGCTGCCTGTGGTCCCCGATCATGACATCAAGCGCGTGTCGAATGTGAGCAAGAATGGTGTTCGAGCCTGGTGTGCCCAGCTGCTGTGCTTCATCCCTGAGCAGAAGCTCAACATCCTTCAACCTGTTGATGAGCACCGAGTATGGGAAGCTGAGTCGGGCAACTATGGTCCCATGTGTCGCTGCAACTAGCATTCCCCGGGACGCATCATGCGCGTCAAAAGGAAGCTTGTAGGTATCCTTTTCCTTACTGGCAGGGACACGAATGACGCGATCGCGGACAAACTCTTATCGCTTGTGCCAAAATTGGTTTGAACCCAAAGCACTGTCCGAACGCAGAGGACAACACGCAAAGCCTAAATCCTTCGCCAGTCCCAAGCATTCCTTCTTTTCCATCGGTGGGCGAATCAAGGATCATTCGGGAAAGCACGATGCACATTGTGTCAGTGCATATGCCTAACAAAGGCATGCGCATCACCAATCCACAAAACCTCAAAGCCCCCGTTTAGGGCGAGGTGGCTACACGCATTACATCTTAAACTACGACAAGGAGTGAGACACTACAGGAGGTGGCCAGAACAGCAGCAGGAAGCTGCTTTTGCTGCGACGGGCTCTGGCAAGAGCGTGAACTGGGCAGGGCGGGTGGGGTCACCAGTGGCGAAACGCCCAGCCAACCGCGACGGAGGCGCGGCTTATGAGCAACGGCGAACCGGCCGGTGCACGCAGGGAGTTGCAGCCGCGGGGAGCGGGCCCTGCGGGTGCATGCCCAGGGCGGGCTGGGTGGGACAAATTTTTGCACGGCGCAATGGAGCCCGTGCTGCATTCAAGGAATACACAACAAGCTGCAGACATCAGTTGCACCTTTGCACACACAAAGCATGGCATGTTGCACACCAAGGCACATCACAACAAGCTGCAGACAGCCACTGCACCATGTAATTTGCTGGACATGAAAACATGCAGAGCATGCAACCGGTAATCGATGAGCATGGTAAAACAAAACATCAAAGTACCTTTGGCTTCAAACAGCGATCAAACGGCATACCGTTTTCTCACATGGCATTTTTGGAAGCAAGCGATAAAACACGATTCGCTCGCGAACAGTAAGCTTATCGCTTGTGCCAAAATTGGTTTGAACCCAAAGCACTGTCCGAACGCAGAGGACAACACGCAAAGCCTAAATCCTTCGCCAGTCCCAAGCATTCCTTCTTTTCCATCGGTGGGCGAATCAAGGATCATTCGGGAAAGCACGATGCACATTGTGTCAGTGCATATGCCTAACAAAGGCATGCGCATCACCAATCCACAAAACCTCAAAGCCCCCTATTAACCGAACCATTGTGGCGGACGCCGTCAAGTTCAGACAGCTTAGAGCACAGTCCCTAGAATTCCCCTGCCCCCAGTGGTGAGCCACTATTCCTTGAGGCAGTCCACACTGTTCCACCTGAACGGCACTCGTCACAAATTGAACGGGTGCACTTGGCTGGCGGGGCAGCCTCGCGAACACCGGGGGGAAAACCCCAACAGGTCTTGCCATAAAGAATGTGCAAACGTGATGAACACGGACTTCCACACGCGAGGCCACGGCGGGTAACTGCACGTCTACTTGGTGTTGAGCTGCGGGGAGGGGCACTGTGGTGTCCCTCCTCCCGGCCCCCCCCCCCCCCCCCTTCATGGGGACCGGCGGTGCGCTCGGGCATCACTTCATTTACTGGGAAGGCCCCAACGCATTGGCGCAGAAGAGGGGGGGGGGCGGTGGCAAGGAATTC